TAATTTCTAATTTTAATTGGAAAATAACTAGGGAGTAAACCTATTTGGAGGATTTGACAATAATTAATTAGGAAATTCTCTAGAGTATAATCAATGAGTTAATCTAAATGAATCAAACATTCAATAGTTAATTACAAGCATTTAACATGCCCGTAGTTAATAATAAATCCAACAATTAACAAATCAAACATAAAAATTCATAAAAGCTAACAAATCAATTAATTAAATGAAAATTCTAACAATTCAACCCAAACATGGGCATCTAGCTATTCAACTTATAGGGAATCTCAAGCATCCATCACAATTAGCATAATAATTCAAGAGATTATATAAAAAGAAAAATTTACTAAAATAAAAGGGATTGAATTAATAAAGTAATCATCAAATGAAGAACATAGGATTAATTTACATACCAAATGAAATGAAACCTCCCCTAGCCTTAGTATAAGAGATTATGTGTCGAGCCTTTGCTACCACCCTTAAGAGAACAATGAGGCATTGTTTTAACAAATCAAAGCCAAATTCAATTGACACCTTTGGGGAGATGAACACCTCCTTTATTTCACACTTCATTGGAGGACGAGCACACAAATGACCTCCGACGTACCTCCTCAACGTTAAACAATTCAAGAGTGAGAATCTTCAAGAATATGTGAATCGTTTCACGAAGGAATCTCTCCAGTTTACAACTATATGATAAGGTAGCTTTGATTGCCTTCATAGGGGCATTGCATTCCTCTCAATTCCTCTTCTCTCTCACTCCAAGGAGCCATCTTCTTCCATGGTCGTGCTCCTGGCAAGAGCTTAATGTTACATGAATGCCAAAGACATTCTTCTAGCTCGAAGGAGTCAAGAGGATAGGCGGTAAGATCAGAAGGATGATAAAAAGAGGCGAGATCCTCCAAGCAGAAAAGAAAGGGCCAGTAGCCCTAAAAAGAATTACACGAAGAATCGCACTAAGAGGTTTAGTACGAGGGATTGATTGGGACAGCGCATCCCCAACGAAACAACACAGAGGTATACCCCCATAAATAGCTTGATAGAACAAATTTTATTTCAGATATAAGATGATAGAGTTCTCCGATAGCTAGGGAAGATGAAGACTCATCCTAACAGAAGGTCCCAAGATAAGTATTGTTGCTTCTATCAGGATCACGACCATAATACGGATAATTGTTAAATTTTGAAGGATCAGATTAAGGACTTGATCCAGAAGACCCATTTGGGCAGGTATATAGAGCGCATGTGCTAAGAAAAAAATGAAGCTCAACCTCACCCGGATGAGCTATAACACCAACAGCCTGTTGGAGAAGTCTATATTATCTTAGGAGGCTTTGCACGTGGTGGGAATAGCAGCTCTGCCAGACGAATAATGCATAGAAGATAAAGTTCAAGCTTGAAGTAAGCTTGGCGAACCAAGAAAAAAATCTCAGGTAGAAACCCCAATCAATTTTTTAGAAAAAGGCCTAGGAGGAGTCTAGTATCATTGTGAAGGTTCGTTGGTGGTCACCTTAACAATCCCCAACTGTGTTGTCAAGAGGGTTTTGATTGATAATGGGAACTCAGCAGATATCATATTCGCCTCGGCCTTCGACCAGTTGAATATTGAAAAAGAAAGGCCAACCCTAGTGACTGCACCTCTCATTAGCTTCTCGGACGAGAAGGCTTATCCGTTCGGGTCAATTATTATACAAGTTAAAACTGGACAAGCGCCGCACCAAACAACAGTTATGACGAAATTCCGATTCGTTGCTTCCAAAACCGATCACTCTCTTTTCATAAAGCACATATCACAGTTCACTTCACATATTCTCATTTATCTGGATGACTTGATTATCACAGGCAATTATGCCGAATCAGTTACATCACTGTTTAACTTTCACATGCTTTAGAGATGAACTTCCCATTAAGGATCTCAACCGCCTAAATTTTTTTTTGGGAATTGAAGTAACTCACACTTCCACTAATCTACATCTATTCCGAAGATAATACATCATGATCTTCTCAACGAGTACACATGGATGGTGCAAAACCCATTTCAAATCTGTTTTCTCCATCTACCAAACTTCATCACAATGCAGATGACCCATTTGACGGTGTCACCAAATATCGAAGCATTGTCGGAGCCCTTCAATATGTGACCATTATCAGACCGGACCTCTTGTACTCAATTAACATGGTCTGCCAATATATGCATTGCCAAGTAATTATCATTGGACATCCATCAAACGGATCCCTCGGTATCTCAAAACGACTATAGATGTTTATCTTCCAATTCAATGACAGTCCTCATATTCTATATCGGCATTTCTTACGTTGATTAACGTGGCTGTCTTGATGGCTGAAAATCAACCAGTGGTTTTGCCATTTTCCTTGGTCCAAATCTTGTATCATGGTCCTCCCGCAAACAACATGTCGTTGCACGTTCAAGTACCGAAGCAGTGTATCATGCATTGGCAGATGCAACCTCTGAAATCTTGCGGCTCCAATCTTCAGGGCTGGCCCAGCAGTGTAAACGAAAAAACGGGGCTTTGCCCCATATTTTTTAATGTACAGTATAATTCCGTCTAAATTTTTAAATATATGACAATATAAACTCCATAAAAAGTCTTAATAAAGTATACACCTAATAACTAAATTTTAAATTCAATAGTTGGGCTCAAAAATATAAGCCACACACTTTGTTGTAACGATCAAAACTCAGTAAAACAAAAACTGTAAAAGCAAAAGTCTCATCTCTCTGGCTCTCTCACACACACATACTCTCTCTTAGAACTCCAATTAAACACAAATAAAACTCTCTCTCCCTCTCACACATGCACAACTTTTTATCTTAAATCATATATAAAATCAAACTCACATAATATAACTTACTTAATTTTATAAACTTTGATTTAGAAAGAACTAAAATATCAAATTTTAATGTTGCAAATAACTATGATAAATCAAACTATATTATTTTTATATTTTTTCTATAATTTTAAGCTCATGTTATATTCTGTAATTATAAATATCATATAGTTATTTAGAACTAATTTGTTGATTATTTATTATAAATATGGTAACTAGAAAATAATCATCTAGATGTGAAAAATCTTTCTAAAAAATGAGATAATTTTAAAATAATTAAATCTTAAAATGATCTCTTTATTCCTACTACCAAACAACACATCATAGAAAAATAGGTTAAAGTCATACAAATAAACAATTAATAGATCCAAAAGAATAAGAAATAATAAAATAATTAAAAAAAATAATTAAAAAAATATTCACGATAAGAGTTAAACATGCAAAACATACAAAAAGAAAGAATGAGAGAATTAGAAATACATACAATTTTAAAAAAGCCTCATTTACAAATGTCGCTTTAGGCCTGAAGTTTTCTTAAGTCGCTCATGTCAATCTTTATTCACTGAACTTCATATGTTCCCAACCAGAGCGACCTATATTGTGGTGTAATAATGTTGGTACAACTTTTCTTACAGCAAATCCGATATTCCACAACCGGATGAAGCACGTTGAAATCGCGTTCCATTTTTGTACGCAATAATGTTGATAAGGGCAACCTTAAAGTTAAGTTTTCTCTCCACCAAGGATCAAATAGTTGATTTTCTCATAAAATCTCTTCCCACTCTAAGATTTCATCTACTTCGGGATAACCTCGACCTTTTCCAATGGAAGCCTTGGGTTGTGGGGGCGTATTAGAGATAAGGATTAGGATTATATCTAATCCTTATCTTTGAGCAACTTCCCACCTGATCGGTGATACTAGAAAAGTGATAAATCAAATTTGAATTCATTTCTTTGTACTCATTACACTATATATATTAGGCTCGTGTAACTCTAACGATTAAGGAGACATAAAGGGTGTGTTTGTTGGACAACTCAAAAATCCGTTATGTAGAAACAAGCACTTCTCAAAGAAATAAAATTGTTTGGTGTTCAAAAAAATTTGAACTTATCAAAAAGAGCATCTTCAAGATGCTTATTCTAGAAAAGTCATTTAGGGGAGCTTCTCAAAACTATTCTATTTGCATTTCTCGGGAAGTGATTTTTAATTTCACCTTACTTTCTAAATTTAGTATTAATTTTTATAATTAAATATTTGTTTTAGCCCTTCTTCATAGATAATTTACTTATCTCAGATTATAAAATAGAAAACAAAAATATATGTATTGTATTAGAACATTAGTTGTAGATAGACATGACTACTTAGTTAAAAATAAAAATTGTTTCAAAAATACTTCTAAAACATACTTTTATCAAACAACTTAATTTTTGAAAAAGTCAAATCTTAAAAAGTCATTTTTAAAATTCCATCTTAATGAAGGATTATTACTTTAAGAAGTTACGTCAAATGCAACCAAACTCTTATGAAGGTCTCATAGAGGGAAGAGAGAGCGATTTACTTGCTAGAGAGGGAAAAAAGCAAAATAAAATCTAATATGTTATTTAATAAAAGTTATTTTGACTTGTTGCTTTATTAGAAATATCAAATTGTAATCTTTGGTTATTAATGATAACGGGATTTCTAATGATTTCAATTTGGTCCAAAAAGATAAAGAATTATATGTAAAATTTTGAAATATACAAAAATAATTAATATCTAGAAAATTATTTCTTCTTTCCCCCTCATGAGAAAGACGGCACACCTTCAATATTCATACTATCTTAAATTTTTTTTTTTAACATAATATAAACTTAACATAAAATTTACGAATTAGAATTACTTATTTTTTATATCAATATACCATGAATTCTGTGATTTTGATAAGATAAATTCATTTAGTTGGTATTATATGAATAATAATTTAAACTTTTTTTCGGTTTTCTTCATTTCTTGATCAGGTAATCGTTGAATCTTTTTAAAATTTTGGGAAATTTTAATTTAATTTATTTTTTAATTAATATAAGCCGTACATAACCCAATGCCTATCCTTATCTGATAAAACCCATAAACCCCGAAGTCATCAGAGTAACTCATCTTCTGCTAGTGCAACCATGTCCCTTTCCTCCAAACTCATCATCCCTCTCCACCTCTGCTTCCCAAATTCTTACCCCAACTGCAAACTCCCATTTTATAGTCTCAAACCCTCTTTCTCTCCTCTAAAAATCTTCACAATCCGATGCGCCAAGCGAACGAAAAGGACAGGAAAATTGAGATACCCATCAGAGAAAAAAAAGCTCAAACTGAAGCAACAACCCGAGATTGGTGTTGAAGACAAATTTCATGGCTTTTGGAGGTTGTCTAAGCTTGCAGTTTCAGCGCAAAAAGACCCTGGTAAAGATTTCCTTGGTGTTTCAGAGGCTTTGCTTGAAGAAATTGCCAAAGTTCTTGAGTTTCCGGTAATTATCCCCCAATCTCCCTTTTGTTTCGTTGAAAAATTGAACGAAAAAGAGATATGGGTTTAGCTTTTTGTATTTGGGTTAGGGTAAGTTGAGTCATGAGTGAGGTTTTTTTTTCTCGAGTACTGCAGTCATTGAATATTTTTTTTTCATTTTCTAGGCACTTTGAATTAAACTATTGTCGACGTTTCTATTCTACGAATTTATAGTTTCTTCTTTGTTGCACAGGTTGCCTCCATGTTGCCGCCAGAGGCATTCTCAGTCGTTAGGAAATCTTTTGATGCGAGGAAGGTTAGTTCAATTTAAGGCAATTGTGATGAGCATTTTTTCTTCCAAATGTATTGAGTAATGATATGGTTGTAGTTTCCTATTTTTTTTTTAAATAGGTTCAAAGAAAATTTAGTTAGGTTTAGCTACAGAAGAAAATACTTATTTTCTTGATATTTAACATATGTATTTTCAGTGTAAAAGTTTTTACGACCTTGGTTAAACCCTTGTAGAAATACTGCAAAACCTTAATCCAAATTCCACCACAATCAGTTTCTGGACTACATTATTGATCCATTCAATTTTGGAATTATTTTTTAGTTCTGTGTGGTGCCAGTAATCATTATATTGATGCCAAATCTTCAGCCAGAAAAGAAAAAACTTATTGATGCTAAAATTCTTGGAAGGCCAACTTTTGTGAAAATAGGGTCCTGTCCTGCCGTGAACTTATTCCCGTATGACTTAGTGGGTAAAATACTAAAATCCCTTTTCACTATAGGGAGCTGCAGATATTTATCAAAGCATTTTTTTTTTTTTTCAAAAAATATTCAGTTCTTAATCATTTGTCCATTTGGGAGAGCAAAATGCAGAGCCCAAGGTTATCTAGATTTTGAATTTCTGGGCTGTTTAGTTGGAGATTTAATACTCTAAGGGAATCTTGCCATGTGAAGATTTTAACCCTACCTCATGGTCAGAGTTGAACCCCGAACAATGTATCACAGAAGTCCTATATTGCTCAATTAATTGGAGCTGGATTTATTTGGTGGTAAGAATGTACAATTTTAAAGATATGATACCATCCAGGTGAAGTACAAGTTCATGCAGCCTCCCCAAGGCCACCTGTTAAAGATCATTGGCTAAGTAAAATCATCACTGTGTGGAGCATGCTCAAAAGCTTGGCTATGGACTTGAACAGTAAAATGATGCATTGAGTTCATGAATTTATACCCTGGGTGCTTTGCATTGTTGTCCTGCAATTCGGTTTCCTGCACGTTCTGGGAAGTTTGCTAATTTCTTTTTTGAACGGATTGCTAATTTTATTTAAAATATTTGGATAGCAGGAAAATTTGTCCTTTTTTTTTCTGGTATTATGAATTGAAAAATTTGGCTCGAAATTCTTTTTAGGAACTCTTGATATAACATGGAGTTTCAGATATTTGATGTATGAACTAATTCACTTTCCTATTTATTCCAGATTCAGAAGGAGCCTAAGTTCGTCTATACAGTTGAAATGGATGCTAATAANACGAAAAGGACAGGAAAATTGAGATACCCATCAGAGAAAAAAAAGCTCAAACTGAAGCAACAACCCGAGATTGGTGTTGAAGACAAATTTCATGGCTTTTGGAGGTTGTCTAAGCTTGCAGTTTCAGCGCAAAAAGACCCTGGTAAAGATTTCCTTGGTGTTTCAGAGGCTTTGCTTGAAGAAATTGCCAAAGTTCTTGAGTTTCCGGTAATTATCCCCCAATCTCCCTTTTGTTTCGTTGAAAAATTGAACGAAAAAGAGATATGGGTTTAGCTTTTTGTATTTGGGTTAGGGTAAGTTGAGTCATGAGTGAGGTTTTTTTTTCTCGAGTACTGCAGTCATTGAATATTTTTTTTTCATTTTCTAGGCACTTTGAATTAAACTATTGTCGACGTTTCTATTCTACGAATTTATAGTTTCTTCTTTGTTGCACAGGTTGCCTCCATGTTGCCGCCAGAGGCATTCTCAGTCGTTAGGAAATCTTTTGATGCGAGGAAGGTTAGTTCAATTTAAGGCAATTGTGATGAGCATTTTTTCTTCCAAATGTATTGAGTAATGATATGGTTGTAGTTTCCTATTTTTTTTTTAAATAGGTTCAAAGAAAATTTAGTTAGGTTTAGCTACAGAAGAAAATACTTATTTTCTTGATATTTAACATATGTATTTTCAGTGTAAAAGTTTTTACGACCTTGGTTAAACCCTTGTAGAAATACTGCAAAACCTTAATCCAAATTCCACCACAATCAGTTTCTGGACTACATTATTGATCCATTCAATTTTGGAATTATTTTTTAGTTCTGTGTGGTGCCAGTAATCATTATATTGATGCCAAATCTTCAGCCAGAAAAGAAAAAACTTATTGATGCTAAAATTCTTGGAAGGCCAACTTTTGTGAAAATAGGGTCCTATCCTGCCGTGAACTTATTCCCGTATGACTTAGTGGGTAAAATACTAAAATCCCTTTTCACTATAGGGAGCTGCAGATATTTATCAAAGCATTTTTTTTTTTTTTCNATCCTGCCATGAACTTATTCCCGTATGACTTAGTGGGTAAAATACTAAAATCCCTTTTCGCTATAGGGAGCTGCAGATATTTATCAAAGCATTTTTTTTTTTTTCAAAAAATATTCAGTTCTTAATCATTTGTCCATTTGGGAGAGCAAAATGCAGAGCCCAAGGTTATCTAGATTTTGAATTTCTGGGCTGTTTAGTTGGAGATTTAATACTCTAAGGGAATCTTGCCATGTGAAGATTTTAACCCTACCTCATGGTCAGAGTTGAACCCCGAACAATGTATCACAGAAGTCCTATATTGCTCAATTAATTGGAGCTGGATTTATTTGGTGGTAAGAATGTACAATTTTAAAGATATGATACCATCCAGGTGAAGTACAAGTTCATGCAGCCTCCCCAAGGCCACCTGTTAAAGATCATTGGCTAAGTAAAATCATCACAATGTGGAGCATGCTCAAAAGCTTGGCTATGGACTTGAACAGTAAAATGATGCATTGAGTTCATGAATTTATACCCTGGGTGCTTTGCATTGTTGTCCTGCAATTCGGTTTCCTGCACGTTCTGGGAAGTTTGCTAATTTCTTTTTTGAACGGATTGCTAATTTTATTTAAAATATTTGGATAGCAGGAAAATTTGTCCTTTTTTTTTTGGTATTATGAATTGAAAAATTTGGCTCGAAATTCTTTTTAGGAACTCTTGATATAACATGGAGTTTCAGATATTTTATGTATGAATTAATTCACTTTCCTATTTGTTCCAGATTCAGAAGGAGCCTAAGTTCGTCTATACAGTTGAAATGGATGCTAATAAACTTCTAAGTCTGGAACCTCGGACTTGGGACTTCATTTCNTTCCAGATTCAGAAGGAGCCTAAGTTCGTCTATACAGTTGAAATGGATGCTAATAAACTTCTAAGTCTGGAACCTCGGACTTGGGACTTCATTTCTCGATTGGAACCCAAAGTTGGGCTAATAGAGCATATGCCTCATGAGAGAGTTTCTGGTGATTTAATTCGTATAATACATGATACAAGAAAGATCAATGAAGCTGCAGCTTTGATAGAAAATGGCCAAAGCAATTACTTGGGAGGGTCATACAAGTTTCCAACTACTAGTAAACCAAAAGTTGCTGTTGTTGGTAGTGGGCCATCAGGCTTGTTTGCATCTCTTGTCCTTGCAGAATTTGGTGCGGATGTCACGTTATTTGAAAGAGGTCAAGCAGTTGAACAAAGAGGGCGTGATATTGGTGCTTTGGTAGTTCGGAGGATTTTACAATTGGAAAGCAATTTTTGTTTTGGGGAGGTTATATCTTTATGCACTTAGTACATTTAAGGTTTTTCTAGTATTGCAATTCTCCACATTATCATTTCTGCCTTGTTCTACTATCTTGCAACTATCTGTCATGGAAAATTGTATATTAATTGGAGCAATGCTATGAGATTCTATGCCATGGATTTGCACACACGTTAATGAAAAATCTGTAAGAGTACCACAAAAAGGATAGAAGAAAATGAGGTGTTGAGATAATTGAACAGAGCATGGATAGCCTCCTTAGAACATCCAAAATAAGATAGGATAGTTTTTGGACTGTTCTCCAGACTTGGTTTTCCAATAAGAAAACATTGGTCATTGTTAATCTTTTACTCAACAGGATTCTGTTATCGAAAATTGTTCATATAAACAAGCAATGTTAGCCATAGGCCAGCAAAATGGTGATAGATAGGTCATGTTTAAAAGATAATGTCTAAGAAGTTCTTAAAATATTTCTCATTGATCAATAGTAGGGGGAAAAGTGAAATTTTTTTATATGAGTTGTACGTCAACAATTCTTTACTATTTGTTCTTTTAGCAAATAATTTTTTTT